CTCTGCTGGATTTCGATCGTGTCTCAACATTTCAACCTCCTTTAGATTCAGGGATTAGACTTTCTACTCTTTAACTGAAATGAAATGGATGACTGAACTGTTGCTGTGATGTTCCACCGGACCAGAAGAACAAGAAGAGCTTTGTTCTCTCAGAGGAAAGACTCAATCTGCAGAACGTTTCACAGGCGCATCTCGGAAAAGTTGCGTAAGGTAAAACTAGAGTTCCCTGTCCAACCAGACCAAGCAGAGCTCCGTGTGTGAAGCAGGTGACAGGTGGGCAGCAAAGGTGATTACCTGATGCAATATGTACAGTGTTATTGATAAAACGTCGCTCCAAAATAAAGGGCTGTTCAACAGCAAGATCAATAAAGTGTAGACTTCAAATGATATTAGTAGTTTTGTTGTTTTGGCTAAAACTCGTCAAATAACCTGAACTATCACTTTATGGTGATAATGGTGCTGGAAGCTGCTTCCTGGTCAGAATCAGCAAACACTTTAACGGCAGTTCTTTATTTCAATCCTTTGATTTGGGTCATTTTGTGATCTTGACTCTGTTGTGAACAAAGTCCAAAAACAGTCCATTAAACAGCTGCAGCATGGACGTGCAGTTCTACACAAATATCAACAAGATTTTCTTTTTTTTTTTTTTTGTACATTCAGGTCACATTGTCTTGTTTCCTGTCTGAAAAACAAAAGATTTATGACCCATGTGGAAAGTCGCTCTATGTGCTCTGAAGTTCCTCTGCACATTAAAACCATGCAGGAAGTTTTAAAGCCCGGTCGGATCCAAACTTTCAAAGTGATTGTGATCTCCTTCACTCATAAACTCTTAATCTAAAGCAGCTACTCTGCTCTAAAAGCAGTCAGATTACTGGCAGCCTGCCTGGAAAACACCTGCTTTCCGTGAGAACTTTACGTCCTGTGTGAGCGTCTTCGTGCTGAGGGGCTGAACCGCGAGTCGCTGCCCCAGACTGTCAAACATGTAATCCTGGATTAGACCGCTATCATCCAGAGCTCAGAGGGAACTAACACCGCACAGCAGGAGTCCTCATCTCCTAATTTACTGCAGTCTAAGACTGAACAGACCACAACCAGGTGGGGTCGTGAATTTTAATCTGGACAGGCTGTAAACTCGCTGACAGGATGGTTTTCTTGGTGGAGGATCCATGTGCTGCGTCTTCCTGTTAGTTTCCATGATTCTGCACTGGCTTGTGCACAAAGACTTTGTTGCTTTTGTTGTCGTCGTTACTGTGTTATGATTGTGTTTCTTAGCTTGTTACTTAACTGATAATGAAACATCATGACAAAGGACTGAACACTTTAATGATGAAGTCCGGCTCGGAGTCGATGTTCCAGTTCATCTGGGTTGAAGTTAAAACTCCGTGCAGACCAGTCAAGTTCTACCACAACAAACTGGGAAAATGTTCCTCTTCTTATTTTGAAGTGTTGATCCATCAGAAGATATAAAAATCATCTCAGTGTAGTTTCACATCTCCTCTCTCAGGCTTCTCTCTGCAGCTCTAGTAACAACAGGTCAGTGAGCCAATCAGAAGAGAGGAGGCTCTGAGCCTCTCTTCTGATTGGCTGACTGTTTTCTGAGTAAAACAATAAAAATATAGCAGATTTCAGGTAAAAACACTCAGAGAAACCAAATCCTGTAAAGGTTTGGATGGTGGGTCCAGGTGGGCGGGGCTTGGGGACTGCTTTGTTGTGACATCACAAAGTTCCAGAAGTCCTGACGGCTGGTTTTAAGGCTCAGTTTCTGAATACAGGCTGTGTGCATTTCTCTGTGGACTGAGGCTTTGATACTTTCACAGTATTAATATAGAAGGTAGAGCTGATCTATAATCACACTACACATGGACAGAGACCTTTACACTGGAGGAGCTTTAAAGGAGAGCACTGATGTCACTCGTTAAAGACTGTTTCCAGGTTTTGAAGAGGAGGCTGCTGCTGATTAAGTGAGAATATAATCTCTGCTGTAGGTTTCAGACTAAAGTAGCTGCTGCTCATATAACACACCCCAATCCCTCAAAGTCAAATTTGACACTGAACTTCCTGCAGAAAAAACTCAGAGGACGCCTTTAAGATACAAGGATGTCACGCCGGATGAGATTTAAATTACAGTACGTAATTGTGGCTGTAATTACCACTGGGGTGGGGGTGAAAAATGAGAGGAGACATTTCAATCAAAACCACAAATGACGAACCTCATTGTGGTGCGAGAGGAAAAGCCAGAGGATCACCACAGTCATTAGGATTCATTTTCAACAATGAATATTTGCTCAAGACAATCCATCCAGTAGCTGTTGAGATATTTCAGTCTGTACCCAAGGTGCTGCACTGACCAGTGTTACAACACCTGGAGCTGTGGCGCTGCATTAACTGGACGTTTCTCTCCAGAGACAGAATTACGACTGATACACATGTACTGACTGTTGTTACAGCTGCTCCTTAAAGCTCCTAAAGTTCGTCCTTTATTGTGATTTGTTGGCTGAGAAATCAAAGCCTTTTAAAAATGATGATCTGATGCCTGGTGCAGTTTGTTGTAGGACGGGACCTTTAAACTTTTAAGGTTCAAGGGTAGAAACTTTTAATTATGTTTCAATTCCATCAATGAATTCCCAACATTTTTCTCTGCTTGTAAACACACACCTCATCATGTCACTTTATTTCCTTCTCGCGTCACGTGACCTCTGGCTCTCCGTCGCGCAGCCGGGCCCTCGGCGCTCTGTGATGGTAATGAGGTGTTGTTCTCTAACGGCTCCACTTCATTAACGTGACGGATGCCCGGACAGCCGCTCGGGTTAATGATGTCACCTCCCGACAGGATCTCATTATATACATGACTGAGAGCCGGAGAGGTCCGAGCCGCTCGGCGAGGGTCCGGAGGAAGTTAGGAGGCATCGATCAGGAACATGGCGAGATTGCTTCTCACAGGTTTCTCACAGCCAACACATCCAAATACAATCAGAAAGGTGGAGCAGAGGAAAAACTGCACCTCCTGCCAAGGTGCAAACAAGCAACACTTCCAGTTTAAAGAACAACTTTACCATCAGACCAACGTGTTTCAGGCTCGTAAAACACATTAGAAATTGTATTTAATTAAGACGAGTACGAAGGAAAAACAGGATGTGATTTTTCTCATGTGTCGTCCTTTAGAAACACTACAGTTCAGTGTAATGTGTCTGCGTCGTCGAGACTGTCCTGTAACAAACGAGCCCATAGTTCGTCTGTGCAGCTGCTTATTATGACATCATGGTTACGTTTTGTTGCTAGGCGACATCTAGTAGTCGTGGTAATTATGACGGGAGCAAAGGGAAAAGTGTTGGTGACGTGGTTTAAAGAGAGACGTCAGGAGGAGGTCGTGGTGGATGTATGAATATGACACAGGCGAGCCGCGTGTTTGAGTCCCTTGTGAAAACAGCAGTTTATGTTGCAACCATGACGACGCAGATCGTCTAATGTTGAGTGAGCACTTGCTTTAACCCAAATCACAATCTTTTCCTAAACCTAACCAACCGAGGATTTAGAGCAGCGAGGAAGAATTGATTTCCTGGGAGAACTGCAGTTTTATTCAGGTGTAAAACTATAAAGTTTATTAATAAATTAATGGGTTTCAGATGGGTGCATAGACTTACTTACTCGTACTTAACTTACGCTACCTGATACAGTATCTTAGACAGTATCTGAACAACTCTATTTATAGCAGGTGGAAACTTAGATCAGTTTGATATGTTGATCTCTACAGTCGAATACAGTCCATTACAAAACTTCTTTAAATCCTTAGTTCCTGAAGGAAAGTTGTTTTTGTTGTATTGGATATTAAAACATGTCTGTGAAAACTCTCCGTCCTCCTGCTCACAGGAAGTACAGAAAAGCTTTTCACTTGATATTGAAAGCGTCTTCGTGGTCAAACGTGACTCCTCCTTGAAGCCCACCTGAGATCTGACAAACCTACAGGTGCTTTATAGAATATTTCCAGCAGCTAAATAAAAACTTCAACCTGACAAACGAGGTCAGTTTAACATCTGGAAATGACTCGCTGACCCCTCAGCAGCTTCCTGTCGTGCTGATGGAGCCTGACGGAGCCCGTGGCTGTTTTCATCCGCAGGAGGTTGGTGTTGGTTTAGTTTGGCAGCTGTTCAGCGAAACCTCAGCGGAGACTGTGTGTGCGAGTCGAATAAAGTCAAACCATAAAAACCCATTAAAGTCCAACTCTCTAATGAAACTGTCAGCTCAGGAATTTAAAGGGACATTTGTGTCACAACTTTGATTCTGTAAAAACTTTTTACAACCTTAAAGCGCCCGGAGCTACAACCTGCGAGGTTCGTCTGAAGTCAGACATCTTTAATGAAATACATATTTTATCAACCACAAAAATCTAAAAGCCCCTCTCTCACTTTAATCTGTCACATTTTATATTTTTACATATTTCAAACAAGCTCCTGTTGCACAAAACACCTTAAAATTTTCTACTCAAGTAATGACACTTAAGCTTTAATTTCTCCTTAGCTGAGGGAGTTACTTAAAGGTGCTGCACAGAAACTCTTAAATGTTTCATCTTGTTCATTTATCGCCATAAACTCGACCATGTTGCAGTTAAGACAGAGTTAAGGGCTTTTGTGCAATGGTTTAAGTGACTTTAAGTGATTCCTTAAGTAAAAGACTAAGACAAGGAGAAAACCATAAATACTTAAGTAAACATTTAAGGGAACCGTAAGGAGAAGACTCAAGGGTGTTTTGTGCAACTGTCTGTATTTTAAGGAAACCTTAACTGAGACTTTAAGGGAAATCTTAACTTAAGGGTTTTTCGTGCAGCTGGCCCCTGTTCTTTAACTGTGCAGTGAAACCAAAACTCTTCTCATGTTAGACTCATGGGTTTTAAAGGAGTATTATTATATTATGTTGTTGCAGCATCAGTTTAAATATCTATTTTAAATATCAACACAACATCCAGTATAATAACTAATCTGTGTCTCTCCCTCTGTCTCTTACAGCTGAAGGATATGCTTACAGGAACCAACGCAAGTTCTCAGAAGAAATCGACTGGTCGTACGCAGGTGAGTGAAGTTCATCAGGTGCTTAAACTGGAATAATAAACTGTCAGTCATGAGTCAGCAGGTTAGGTGGTTTTGCTGTTGAGTGATTGGCTGACTGTTTTTTGAGTGAGCCAATAAAAATAAAGCAGATTTCAGGTAAAAACACTCAGAGAAACCAAATCCTGCAAGGTTTGGATGGTGGGTCCAGGTGGGCGGGGCTTGGTGACTGCTTTGTTGTGACATCACAAAGTTCCAGAAGTCCTGACGGCTGGTTTTAAGGCTCAGTTTCTGAATACAGGCTGTGTGCATTTCTCTGTGGACTGAGGCTTTGATACTTTCACAGTATTAATATAGAAGCTAGACCTGATCTATAATCACACTACACATGGACACAGACAGATGTGCATTTGTTGGGGACTATTTCCAGCAGCGGATTAACTCGTGTGCTCATGGCGATGAGGGAATGAGTCACTCAGTGAAACAGTGACACTCACTGATGTGTTTCTAATCTTTTTTGGAAACAATGGAGCTCAGTGGTGCAGGAGAGTCAGATACATCAGAGAGAGGATAGAGAGGAGAACTTCACTGTTGTTTTCTGTCTTTTCATGGCCTTTGTTGATAAGAAGAAAACTATGAAATATCACCAGACTTATTCCTTAAAAGGCCAGTGCAGCTGTAAAACTTAAAACTGATCAGATGAGCTTCGTAATAAAAGTATTACATCAGCCTCACAGGTGATTGACAGGACAGGTCGGGGAGGGAAACATCACAATGAGAGTCATCCACACGACAATGACAGAAAATACAGTGACTGCATGACGTGACTGAGGGAGCTGTACATAATACAGTGTATAACAGAGGGGCTTATGGGAAGTCACGCATATATATATATATATATGCACAGTACAGTACACACAGTGTTACACAGACTTAATGTCAGTCAGAAAACTGCTCCTGTCTCAGATATTCACACAACTCATATCTGTCATCTCCATGTTGCTGACCAGTAGAATAACTGATGTTGCTTCTTGTTAGTGTGTATATGTGTGTGTGTGTGTTTGTGTGTGTGTGTGTGTGTGTGTGTGTGTGTGTGTCCTGCAGTGTGACATGCTGGCTGCAGCTCCACTGATGCTCGACTTTAATGTTTCTGCTTTGATGTGAAACTACACATACTGTGTGTGTGTGTGTGTCTGTGTGTGTGTGTGTGTGTGTGTCTGTGTGTGTCTGTCTGTGTGTGTGTGTGTGTGTGTGTCTGTGTGTGTCTGTCTGTGTGTGTGTGTGTGTGTGTGTCTGTGTGTGTCTGTCTGTGTGTGTGTGTGTGTGTGTGTCTGTGTGTGTCTGTCTGTGTGTGTGTGTGTGTGTGTGTCTGTGTGTGTCTGTCTGTGTGTGTGTGTGTGTGTGTGTGTGTGTCTGTGTCTGTGTGTGTGTGTGTGTTTGTGGACTGTACTTCAAAAGAATTAACTAATTGATTTTGAATGACAGTGAAGTAATTCATGAAGCTTTTGAGTATTTATGTGTCAGATGAAAATATGGAGATGAACTTTTTAAATGAGATTTGAATAAATATCTAAATATTAGATGTTTGTGTCCTGATCTAGTATTTTTTTTGCCACAGTTCTGATCCGAGTCTTTAATATTGATTATCTGCTGATACTGAGTCTGATCCAGATATGTGCAGTTATCGTTGTGTGTCTCTTTGTGGTTGTTACCACCATGGTTGGTGTTGTTTTCATCGTGTGTCTCATCTTATCGTGTGTGTGTGTGTGTGTGTGTGTGTGTGTGTGTGTGTGTGTGTGTTTTGAGGACTTTGGCAGTTGTTTGTGTGTCAGATTTTGTCACTGTGATGACGTCGGGTTTCTTTTCTGTTTGGTTCATATAGTGGCTGCAATGAACAGACTTTTTATTCATTTCTAGCAGATCCTGTTGTGTTGTGAAACTTGCAGTGACTTGCTTTGCTTTATCTTGCTTTATATATATATATATATTTTAATGTATTTTCTTCTTTCTGTGTTTGTTGTTATGCACCAAACACCAAAGTAAATTCTTCATATGTGAAAACTCACTTGGCAATAAACATGATTCTGATTCTGGAACGAAGCAGATGAACCAACATGAGCAGGAAACTCTGGGCTTCACTACAGATAAAGACTTGTACTTTGAAAGCTGCTGCTGCCGCTGCTGCTGCTGCTGCTGCTGCTGCTGCTGCTGCCTAAGTGCCCTTGAGCATTGGACTGAAGCCCTGATTCCTCCAGTACAGCAGCACTGTGTTAACTCAGACTCAGACGATGGATCATATGAATCCAATTTTATCCACTTTTACCTTCATTTTAGGATAAGGACACACACACACACACACACACACCCACACACACAGAGTTTATTTGATCTGTGATCAGAAGCAGCTTTTGGCTCGGCTCAGTGAACAGCGGAGATTTAATAAAACAGATCTTTTGGTGATTTTCAGTATCACAGGACGAGCTGTTGAGACTGGTGGCGGTTTCTGGAGCAAATGTGATCTGATGTTTTCACTGCTTGTCTGTTGGAAAGATAAAACAAACACATGGACAGTTTACATGAGCTGAGTCCAGATTTTAAACCGTAACACAAAACTGTTTGATTAGGTGAAAATATGATTGATGAACTACTAATAAAAAAACACATTTCACATCGTGTTTTGCTTCTCACACATTCAAGAACGTCTGAAGTAAAATTCATTGCAGCTCGTTTGATAGTTGTTGAGATATTTCACTCAAAACCCCAAAATGTCAACTTCAGTTTGTCACTAGAGGGAAAAGCAGGAGGTTCCATGTTTCTTCATGTTCTGAATTCAGACCTGAGAGTTTCCAAAGACACCGAACATCTGGGGCTGAGTTTTGTATAAACTGATGTTGGAAACATGTTTTAAGTCTGAGAATAACAAGAGTATAACTATAATATAGCTCCTTTGAAGTGCTGCAGCATCATGGCACAGAATAACTTCTACTGTTTGTGTTATACAGCGACACTGATTCCACCTCTGCAGCTGCTCGAGGCCCGAGTGAAATATCAATGTAAATATTTACAGTTCGAGAGATAAATTTACGTTTATGATCCTTTTAATAGCAAGAAAGTCGATGAATCTGAGCGAAGCTTCATATTAAATAAAGTTTTAAGACAAGTCATTCCATATATAGAAGTAGCATGTATGTATATAGTGACAGTTCCAGCATTTAACACACACATCTGACTCCAGGCCGAGTCTCAACCTGATCCTGGCGCTACTGATGTTTTATTTCATTATTATCATTTATTGAATATTGATTCATCTATTAAATTATTTTCTTCATTTATCTTTTATCATTTGGTCTATAAGACATCAACAGGTGTGAGTTCAGGTGTGAACGCACCCGAGACGTAATGAGGACGCAGGTCTGGGCCGCACGAGTTGTTTTTACAACCAGCATCCTGAAAACCTTAAAATATTTAATGAACTATAAAGTACGGCCAAGAAAAGCAGCTTATTCCCACGTTCACGTTTGATATTTCTGATTAAAAAATTATGAATCGGTTTTCAAAATAGTCGTGTTTCAATAGACGAATCAGTTTAATTGACTAATAGTTTCAGGTTTAGTGTCTTTAAACTTTTTTGGTACTTGTTTCAAGCTCATCCTGTGGTTTAAGGTTGTGTGTGTGTGTGTGTGTGTGTGTGTGTGTGTGTGTGTGTTCTCCATTGACATGCTAATATCCGTCCTGACCCAGAAGCCTGTCTGACCTGGTTGGTCTTTTTGTCCTGTGGAGGAAGAAAACTCTCAACAGCCAATCAGAGCGAGGACGGGGGGGGGGGGGGGGGGGGGGACAGACCGCNGGGGGTGTCACATGACCACTACCTGCTCACAAACACATTTCTGTTGTTATTGCATATAACAATAAACATGGTAAGAAGAAAGAATATAAAAAAACAAGTTCCACAAGAGAGGGAAATATAAATAGAAAAACTTTCAATAAAATATTTACAATTAAAATACAACAAAATAATACAAATATGTACAATGTGCAAAATGAATGGGGTGATGTGAAATAGTTCACAGTATGAAATACATGATGTTCAAAAAAATCAAATTACCTTTTACATTAACGACTTACAGTCACATTCAGCTCTTATTGTTTACGTCAAGAGTCAGTGGCTCCAAACAAGCTGTAATTTAGACGTCCTCCTCATTATTGAACTGTGAGTGGAAACAGGTTTGAGTAATGACTGTAATGATGAGGCGCCCTGTGGTGCAGCTGCACCTTCCCTGACTCTCGCTGTGACCTTCTGACGAACAGACAGCTCACGACAAAACGTATTCAAGCTAAATATCATCCAAGACTGTGTGTGTGTGTGTTTCCGTTTGCACAAAATCACGTTGAGAGCGGTCGCCATGAAAACAGGGTGAGGAGCTCGGACATCCGGAGCGAGCTCGGCGTAGAGTCGCTGCTCCTTCACGCCGATAAAGGAGCCAGTTGAGGTGGTTTTGTGGTTAGGGACAAAAACAACATGCTTAGCTGCAGCTGAAGAGCATGGTATTATTACAGTAGTTAAGGTTTGAAAA